CACTAAACGATTTTCTTTTTATTAGCAATTACTTTCTGCTAATTTAGAGTACAATATTTTTCTTAAACTTTTTGTTTCAAATATTTAAAGGCTACTGATCCGTTTGTACTCGAAGGGTTGGTGTTGGCGTCTCTCTTACCTGTTGTTTATTATCCATTCACTGAGACGACCAATTCGGTAAACATTTGGGTATCATCACCATGCCTTTGCAAAAAGTTACAGTTTGTTTTCGGGACTTTAAGCTGCAGCATCACCGTCAACGGCCAGCGCTACATAACGATAAAAACCGATTTGAATGATATGAACGTGAACGAAATGTGGTTTCAACGGGATGATGCCATAAGCGACTAACTGTTTGCCACAGAGATCGTAAAATTTTAGTAGATTCGACTTTTTTTCATTAGATGTTCGGAAATAGGCAAAATTATACCGAACACGGAGACCAAAGTCAACAAAACCCTAGTCCATCGCTCAAATTCAGTCAGATCTATGGGACAGAGTCAATGAAAATTAGATCACTCTAATGTACACTAGGGACGTCCAAAGAAATTAAAAGAAAATTTCTATGCTCCCACCCCTAGTGTTGTTCTATATCGAAAAAATATACCCGTTTTTTTTTAATACAAAATATTTTGAGCGTTTTAGCTCAAGTTTCCCATATATTTTATATGGGAAAAAATGTTTTCGTAGAAATGGTATTCAACTCCAATATCAATACATAATCATTTATTTAACAATTTTTTAATAACTATTAACTATGTTTATGGGTTACCCAAAACCCCCAAAAAATTCAATGGATCAAGGATTCCACGAAGTGTTCTTCGCCATATAAAATACATCAGAAACTTTTAGCGCTTTGGGCAACCTCTAAAAAAGGAACTTCAAAGGGCACAGTGTAGATTAATGGAAATCAAGTTCTGGGAAAAATTCAATGCTAAGGCAGGATTATAAATTTAACAGCCAAGAGACATTAACAACCCGGCCTCTGGTTATGTTGTTAAACAGCAAGTCCACAAAAACCAACTGTGTACAAGCAAATTTAAGATCTTATTTCTGTATGTGTACATCTCTGTCTATCTTTCGTATGCTTTATTACTTTAAATTTCCAATTTTGCAATTATTACTTTAAATTACTTCAATTCTGTCTATAAACGTTTTTAATTTATCTTTCCCTTTTTTGTTACTACTTCCTTGGACTGACGGCATGACAGTGCGACGGCAGCCAGGTGGGTTATTTTTTTTAAAGTTTCACTTGACAAACAAAAAAAAAAAGTATTTTTGTGAAAGTTTTTCTGCTAGGGGTTAGGACTCAAAATGAGCATGCACTCTTTTTGAATACGAGTATGTACTACACTCAGAAGAAAGTCAGCCAAATGCATTTCTCTCAACACATAATTCGGTAACTACAACCAAATTCGGTTACTATAACCAAATCATGTGTTGACAGAAACATATGTATGTAGTTGACGTAGCTAAACTCTTTTAGTGTAGGGTACCGTACACCTTCGAAACTAAAGTATTTTTTCAGAGGTAGCACCTAAGTACGCCACCAGATCTCAGTTCTTATCACCATAACCTACCACCCTAATGTCAGTTAATTAAAGCTCTACAAAATTCAATAATTTTTTCAAAGGAAGTATTTCGATTATTCCAGTGCAACAACTAAAAAATATATATGTGTATTGCCCAATGTAGTGCCGTCGAAAAATCTAAAATGGCGACCCCTAGGTTCAGCGAAAATTGCCTGAAAAAAATACTTTAGACTCAGGTGTGTACGGCGACTTTGTTTTTATTTGCTTGTAAGGAGGTACAGTGTAGTAGGTACAAAACATACATACATACATGCATGTGTAATAACACTATGTGTTTCCTTGACACTTTTCAGGTTTCCCTCGACTCCGATCGACCCATTGTGACGGCATGCCGCAATGGCAGCGGCCAGAGCAACAACGGCAACAGCAGTGGCGGTGGCAGCATGAATAGCAACCACAAAAGTAGTTTTATGCAACATCATCATCATCATCATCATCATTCGTCGACGCATCCGCATCCGCATCAGCGTACGCGCATCAACCGCATGCCACACTCATCGAATAATGTGCTGCGTGCTAGGCGTGGCGTTGTGCGCATGCTCATCATTTTCGTGCTCACATTTGCACTGTGCAATTTGCCATATCATGCGCGTAAAATGTGGCAATACTGGTAAGTGAAATAAGAAAAAAACCAAAAAAAAAGAAAAAAAAACAAATGTTACAGTTGCATTTACATACATTTACAGTTACATATTAGTATAAGCACTTTCCAAAAAGGGGAGCGTGGGCACAGCGTGGTAAATAGCATGAAAATTATTACTAAGCGACACACTTTTGCGGTTCATCAAGCACAAATTTGGCAAAGTATATTTTCTGGTTTTTTTATGAGCGCGCTAATGCGAAATTTATGCGTCGTACTGTGCTTCTAAGTGAAATTTTGCGTATGTAGTTATGTATCTGAGTAAACCAGGTTTTACTCTTGTGTGTGGCATTTAGTTACTGTTGCTGTTGTTGCGGTTATGTTTGCTGTTATTACTGATGCAGATAAAAATATGCTAATGGCGCAAATTTACTCAGCCAGCGCTAACAAATTTATGTTCATTGCATCAAAGATTTGCTTCGTTGATGAATTGAAGCAACAGTGAGAGAGGTCAAGTTGCGTTATGTAACCAAATCAAAAGTGGGCTAACTTAAAAATCAGAGAGCATTGTACAGATTCGAAGCAATTAATAACAAATAATACATACATACATATACCAAAACTTATGGCTTCTAAATTTAAGTAGAAAAAGTTTTCTTGAGCTTTATAATCGGTTTGATGCTGAAATATTTTTTAAAGATACGCATTAGGGGTCTGAAACGTATTAGTTATTATTTTGACCTATGTATATTTGAAGGCACAAAGCCTAAAAATATAATCACTTTAAAATTTCGACTCAGTAATGCATTTGAGTATGTGTATATTTTAACCCAACCAACAATAAGGTTCGAACTCCATTTTGAGGTTAAGTTCAGAACTAAGGTATTTCTCAAATCTTCAATGTTGTTTCTCAACAGTGCTTTAAGTGGAAAATTATAGCGTTCATTTTTTATATTAAAATAGGACGTTCTCTCAAGTTGAGAAAAAGTTAGTTCTCAACTAGAGCTCCAATGTGATTCACCAATTGGTCTCAAATACATCACTGAAACACTGAAATTAAAATAGTAAAAAATTGTAATCGCTTAAATTGAAACCACATAAATAAATTTAAATATTTAATTTTTACTCCTTTTGTAGTAGTTAAATCTCGCATTACAATAATTATCTTTAAAATTCAGGGATTTTAATGTTTCATTTTTTAATTTACAAGATTAATTATTTATTTAACTTTTACTTTGCATTTTTGGTTAGGTATTACGAGAAGCGTATCAGAAGAGAAGCTTGTCACTTTTCTAAAATATGTATGTGCATTAAAAAAAAAAAAAACTATTTATTAGAGAGATTAGAAATCAAACGAATGCTGTTTAATAAAATTTGAGTCTAGAAAATATCTTTAAACTAGAAAAAAAAAATTATCAAACTAATAAACAATTTAGATACCAACGTAAACAATTAAAAACTATTTCAACCAGTATGGGCAAATTATAAAAAATTCTTTAAAGCATACATTTTTTATAGGGTTGTCACTTCATAATATATTTGACTTTTTCCGTTTTTGGTGAGATAGATTATTAGAATATTTAGCCAAATACCCTTTAGAAAAACCTCAAAGCGCCAGCTAATAAATATTTTAATACTGACGTCTTATTAAAAATGTAAGAATACCATTTTATATTTATGATAAAAAATTGTAAAATCTTACATTCTTAATTTTTTTGGAATATAAACTTGTGACAAGCTAACCTTACCACGACTGTTTTAAAAAAATGAGAATGAATTTTATAAATTAATGAAATTTTGCTTTTTATTGTGAATATAGTTCACACCGTAATAAAAACTATATAAATAAAATTTTAAAACTGTGTATAGAATTTTCAAATTTTATTAAAAAATTTTGGGGGGATTTCGGTTAAGCAGCTTAATATCTATCGCATTAAATTTTAGTAAAATAATGTGCAACTTTGTAGCCAAAAATTCTCGGTGATGTTTGAAAATTTTTTTCACGACTGTCGTGTGCAGTTTTTTTGTCAAAGATTAACCAAAGTTTTGAGCTACTTCAATCTTGCACTTTATTATATTAAATTTAAATGGGATAATAAACTTCAAACTCGTAATTTTCCTAAAATGTTCGAAATTTTAGTGAAAATTGGATGAATTTTAATAAATTTTTTACAAAGTTTAAAATTTGTATTTATACATACATAAGTATATACATTTACAAACAAAAAATAATCTTTTTTATTAATTTAAAAAATTCTACCAAATTAATTTTAAACTCGTGGAAGATTTGCGAGGTCACAAGTGTACTTTCAGTGAATTGGGATGTTGTTTGTTGGGATTTTGCGTACACAAAAGTGTTTTTTTGAAATTAAAAGCTGGGTGTTATTATTTTTACCGCAATCATATGCTTAGCCTTCTCCTGGCCAATCTAAGTAACAAATTTATTTAAAATCATATCATTGCAAGCCTTTATAGATTCGCAATAACTTGTAGAATACAGCATAAACTCTTCGAACAAATGGCAGAGTATAAGTGACAGTCATGAATTGGACACATTGAATGCCCTAGCAACAAAAAGAAAGAGAAAACACAAAAAAAAACAAATAAATGAAAGCAGCAACTGTAAATGAAACCGGTTGACAACATAATTAATGAACTGTAAATAAAGACCACTCTGAACAGACAGAGAAACAAACAGCTGAAAATACAAACAACTACAATAAACAAATACCAATACAACAGCTACTCTTTCTTCGCTGCAGTGCAGTGCAACAAGGTTATTCGCCAGTGATTTAAGTAAACCCGTATACCTGCGACGTCGAGAGAGTGGCATCATATTAATTGCAGTTTGTTGCGCTGTGTGGCGCGGAAATGAACAAAAATTTCAACGGAGAGAAATTAATTGAAGGCTGGCTGATTAAGTGTACTCGTATAAATGAGGAGTGAATGAATGAATGAGTGAATGTAAGCAATTTTGTGCGACAAATGAAAATTTAATTTTAAAATTTTATTTTTACGCGCGAGCTACTTGCTGAGTGAAGAGCAAGACGAAAATAGGAAGGAAGGATACTCATTTTGGTTGTTGGTGTTTCCAACCGAGTAGAAACATGATGTATTGTGGAACTGAAGATGGCACAAAGCCGAAACAGCCTTGCCACCAAACCAAATTTGACAAGGCATACTGGAAAAACATCTGGAGGCAAGTCCTTTCGTTTGGCCCCTCACATTTAGTCGAACGAATAGCCCACATCTTATAAATTTTCGTATAGGCGGCATTCGTTTTGGGAAAAATAAAACCTTAAAGTATTTTTTAAATAGGTGCCAACCCCACAAAAAAAAATCTTATTGAACATCCGAAAACCATATCCTTTCACTTGGTACCTCATTTTTAAGTCCAATGAACGGTGAAAATCATATTATTTTCAGCAAGGTGGCAACTCTGTTCAAAAAATAATGAATTATTGAATATCTAGAGGGCAAGCCTTTTCATTTCACATTTCACTTTTTGTATTTCAACGAACAGATGTTATAATTTTTTAGAGAGGTGGCAACTCTATAGAAATTTTATGCACTAAAGATAATACCCCTAATAATACAGTTTATATTAAGCACAATCTCCTCCAAGTCAGTGTAGTAATTCTCGAGATTAATAATAATAATATATTGGCGCTTACTTATACATACATATGTCAGTGTTGGGTTGAACCGGGCTTGAACCCAGGCTCTGGTAGCGTGCACTGCCAACCACTACACCGCAGCGGCCGCACATTAGAGATTGGCGTGGTCAAAAAGTGTCATTTTTGCTTTATGCTATGTTAGGATAAAATTGTAATTTTTAAATAGATGGCAACCCTACCCAAAAAAGTTGCTTTATATACGAATGTCATGCCCTTTCATTTAGTATCTCATTTTGTTATCCACCGAATAGTGAAGATCTTATAAGTTTTAAACAGGTGGCAACCCTACTCGAAAAAATAAAACATTTATGCTTATTTAGAGACTACCATCTTATTTGACGCCTCATCTTTTGTAATCCAAAGAACGGTGTGGATCTTATAGTTTTTAGACAGCTGGCAACCCTATAAAATTCGAAGTAAAAAGGGTCACTCTCCCACTCTGTGTCAAAATCCGTTCAGTACTTTTCGAGATTACCGCTACAAATAATGTCGACTTTCCCCTATATTATGTATAGACAAAAAAAAAAAAAAACAGAAATTTTTAATTTTTATGGAAGTGTAACTAACCTCATGCCTGGGCCACTTAAAGAATGTGTGCGCATACAAAATAAATTTTCAAAATTTGTGCCAAGTGCAATCACTGCCACGCCATTGAAAGTAAAATTTTAAATTGTCACAAAAAAAAACATGAAAATCTAAGTTTACAGTTGAAAAATTCACCTTGTTCAAGTTGTCCACTTTACACAATTACCAACGAAAGCACATACATACAAACTTACTGCATACTTGAGTACCTATGTACGTGAAAATGCTGCATAATTGTTAAGTTTTCAGGTGTGCAATGGAAAAGTGCATTTTGAGGACATTTGAGATTTGAAGTAAATTATGGAAAAACGCACTTTAGTGCCATTGCGCCACAGCTGAACTTTGCTATTTCGAAGGCAAACAAGACTGCCGGCGAGGTGAGTGAGTGATGAGCAAGCCAGCATGCAGCAGTGCATAGCAGCAGGGAGTAAAATTAAAAAAAAAAATGTTAAAAATCTTGGGGAATTGAGAACAGCAGCGCTGGAGCAAAAGAAAAAAATGCAAGAATACATAAGTACGTATATGCGGAGTGTGTGGGTGTGTGTACAGATTTGCTAAAAGTTGTTGTTGCTCTACGTGCTGCAGTGAAATTACTGATGAGAAAAGTTTTGTGTAATTTCCAAATGTGAATTTGAAATTTTATTTGCAACTTTAAATTTAAAATGCGCACAAAAATTGCGTTTGCATTAATTTTAGTTCGATTCAATTAATCAACTTTAAAAACCATCGACGAAACGAGGTCGCACTCTCTGGTGGTGAAATCTGCAGCCCATACCTTCCGAGCTTGAGCTTTGGTTGTGATAAAGAGAATGCCAATACTTCCGGGGAGCTAATTAATATCTAGCAAAACTAAGGTCTGGAATATTTTGCCTTAGCTACTAGAGAGTTAAATTAGCTTAATGAGTCGAAGCAGAGCCCTTGCAGAAAAACCCTACGTTCCTTGATTATCAAGTATTCATCGAAGACTTAAGTACTTACAAAACTGCTGGCATCAGCATTACAACAGTCACGAAAACCCAGTAACATGAAAGCAAAATTGAAATTGAAAATTTGTAGTTGAACCCTTACATAAATTATAATTTTTTTTTTGTAAGAAGTTGTTCTAGTCCTACTGGAATACATCTTGAATACTCCACGCATACACACAATACATATGTAC